ATTTTTTGCTGTTACACATTTTTCCACCAGTTACTACTATATTATTCTGTTGCATGCTTAGCCACCAACAAATCCCTCTCCTTAGGAAATGAATCTGTAATAAGCCTCCTCATTCTGAAACACAAAAGATTTTTTTTCTTCTAAGTGATTTAAGATTTTTTTTTTAAAACACCGCAACAGAAAACCACCTGCACTTACATCAACTTTTTGTAATGATCTTCTTCATGCTCTTACTTCTGTTCTTTTCTTTAGTAATACCATGAATGTTGCTGTGTTCCTTTCCCTTGTTAGGAAATAATACCATCCCTACTAATGACAAAGGAAAAACTCCCCACCTACAGTTGATTACTGCTTAAGTTTGTAAATATGCAATGTATCAACATGTCTTGAAGGCAGATTTAATTTAGGTCTTTCTAGGTGGAGGGGGGAAAAAAGCACACTTAATCTGAAAAACAGTTACTAGCCGAATTCCTTAATTTTTTTTTTTTTTGTGTATAATAAGACTTTAAGCTTTCTAGTTTTTACTCATAGAAAATGGACTTGATTGGCCTAAACATTTGTGAGCAGCATGAAGTGCTTTGAGTCAGCCCATGGTCTCTTAACATTGATTGTGTCTCCAGAATGATTCTGTTATACTGTGAAAACATTGGGAGAAAACAGGATTAAATACTGGTACAGAAAATTCAGTCCCTGGTAGCCAAAATTTACTATTCTAATGCTGATTCTTAAAATTCCTTTCTGTTCTATTAAAATTATTTTTAGCCAAAAGTCTCAACTCTGTATGCACAGTTTCAGAGAACAGCTGACAACTAGCTTCAGCATAATAAGAAGAAATACTTCTGCTATTTTAATATTTCAGCCAAATATACTAACTGCAATGGAGTATAACACATTTTTGGTAGACACATAGTTCAATAAGCAATCATTGCTCTGCCATCAAGCAATGACTTTGAAGAATGTTCTGGACCCCAAGCTTAACTGCTAAACAGTCAGAAAAACTTCCCTTTCCTGAACATTTCAGTAGAGAAAAGACCGATGGGAGAAACACCCTAGTTGGAATCAATTAATGTGTCAGAATTCAGATTATCCCTGAAATTGAAAAAGTTAGCCCCAAAACTGCAAATTCATTCATAAAAAAAAAAGTCTTGTATTTTCAACATGACTCTGTTGCCAGGAACAGGTTCCAGCAGAAAATTCCCAGTAAACTCTTTTCTACCTACTTTTCTGGGCCTACAAGGTAATGTATTTATTCCTTCATCCATCTAAAGCAGCTTTTTCAACCTATTTTCTCTCACTAGCCTATTGAGGAAGGGGAGTGAGAGAGCAGCTGTGTGGGCATCTGGCAACCAGCCAAGGTCAATCTGTCACCTAAGTGAAAGAGTTAAAAAACCTGAGCTCTGTATTGATAACAGCATTGTTATGCTTCTAATTGTAGGCTGATACTGAAATTACTGATGGCTGTATTACCAATGCACTAAAACCACCAGCCTCACACTTCCCATCATGCCACACTCCATAGAGCCTGGCACAGTCCTGCTCTAAGTCACTCAGTTGTCCCGTGCCCCTGTTTCAAACACTTTCTCAGAAATTGGCATGTGGTACCTTCACTCAGCTGTGGGAAGATAAAAGAACATTTCTTTTTCCTTTCCTTGGATGAGTGGCAGTCCTCTTCTTGCCTAGCAAACTCATGGAGAAAGGAGATCTAGTATGTGACTGAACCTAACGTGGGCATACGGGTATAGGGAAAAAAAAAACATCACTGCGAAGCCACTGTAACAAACACTCTCCCAAACTACAGATAACATCAAAAGAGAGCAGACAAGTACACTTATTAATAGAACAGGAGCCAACCCTCTTCATGTGTTAATATTCTTTCTCCTTATATTATTTCCATTTTATAAGGCTAAAGCCTCAGTAAATCAATATCCCTCTCTTCTACCAGATGTGGTTCTAGAAGAAACAGGAAGGATAAAAGAAGGGGGAAATAGAACTACTTCATCTAAATCCTAAATAAATGACAGCCCATCAGTTTCACTATAGTCCAGATCACCATTAACTATGCACCAACTATCAGGAAGACTTTGCAGAAACCTGTCGTGGTTTAACCGCAGCCAGCAACTAAGCATCACACGGTCGCTTGCTCCCCCATAATGCGATGGGGGAGACAACCAGAAGGGTAAAAATTGAGAAAACTCGTGGGTTGAGATAAAGATAGTTTAAGAGGTAAAACAAAAGCCATGCATGCAAGCAAAGCAAAACAAGGAATTAATTCACCATTCCCCACGGGCAGGCAGGTGTTCAGCCATCTCCAGGAGAGCAGGGCTCCGTCATGTGTAACAGGTACTTGGGAAGACAAACATCATCACTCCAAACATTCCACCCTTCCTTCTTCTTCCCCCAGCTTTATATGCTGAACATGATGTCATACAGTATGGAATATCATTTTGGT